CCAGTACGTTTTACAAAGTCCTGCCAAGTGCGAGTCTCTCTGATGTGATGGGGAAGGAGATAGATGGACAAAATAGTATTTAGACATGGGCCTAAGAGAAGTTTTTAGGTTTTTTTGAAGCCACTACCCCTTGTCCTACCCCTGCAGGTCCTTGTAAAAAGCCCCTCTCCAGCTTTCTTGTAGGCCCCTTCAGGTACTGGAAGGCTGCTATAAGGTCACGCCAGAGCCTTCTCTTCTCCAGGCCGAACAACCCCAACTCTCTGAGCCTTTCCTCATAGGAGAGGTGCTCCAGTCCTCTGATCATTTTTGTGGCCTCCTCTGGTCCTACTTGAACAGGTTCATGTCTTTCCTGTGCTGGGGTCTCCAGAGCTGGACGCAGGACTCCAGGTAGGGACTCACCAGAGCGGAGCAGAGGGGCAGAATCCCCTCCCTCGCCCTGCTGGCCACGCTGCTTTTGATGTAGCCCAGGGTATGGTTGGCATTCTGGGCTGTGAGCGCACATTGTTGGGTTGTGTTGAACTTCTCATCCACCAGCACCCCGAAGTCCTTCTCCTCAGGGCTGCTCTTAATCCATTCTCCACCCAGCCTGTATTGGTGCTTGGGATTGCCCCGACCCGTGTGCAGGACCTTACACTTGGCCTTGTTGAACTTCATGAGGTTCACACAGGCCCACCTCAAGCCTGTCAAGGTCCTTCTGTATGGCATCACTTCTTTCCAGTTTGTCGACAGCACCACACAGCTTGGTGTTGTCGACAAACTTGCTGAGGATGCACTTAATCTCACTGTCCATGTCCCCAACAAAGATATTAAACAGCACTGGTCCCAGTACTGACCCCTGAGGAACACCACTCATCAGTAGTCTGCTCTTCTGCCTGAGTTGGTAGAAAAGCAGGTACAGCTGGGTGAAGAATAGGCCTTCATGGAGCTGTGTTTTTCCCTGCTGAGGTATCCAGAATGTTACAGACTGGTAAGGCTTGACCTGGCCTGACTCCATCTGTGAAGCAGAAGGTTTGGGTGGTAGCTGGGCTGCTCTGTACGTAGTCTGATTCCATCTCAGTGGAAGAGCACTTGAATTCATCATCTGTTGTGGCCACATGCTTGATACCCTGTGACATTTCAGGATGAGGAACAATTTTAAAAGGCACTAGCGAAAGAAAGCAATTATTTCTGTTTCTTCCAAAGTTTGGATATTAAGAGCAGTTTGTTGCTGTTTTTTCTGTGTGATGCAGAACTGCTTTGCGCTTGCACAGATTGTGCTGAAAGGGTTAGAATCTAAGTTTTAGGTTTCTGTAGGATCAAATTTTGTTACAGACTGATAAGAACTTTTACAGAATTGTGTTACGTTCTGTAATGCTTTGGATTTCTTAACAGATGGCAGGAAAAAAAAGAAGAGCTTGGAGTGTCTTGTCCATGAGTGCAAAGTCATTCTGGAGCTTATGCTGGAGTGTTACCACTATACTTTCTGTTGATTGGCTTCTGATCAATACTATAAGGATACTTAATGTTGTTTAATGGTATTACTAGCAGAAACTTTCTGTATTTTTCTGCAGAAATTCATTTTAGTGGTTTGCAGAAAGTAATTTAAGCAGTTGTACTAGAAAAGCAGTTTTAAACTCATCAGTTACTAACTTTCTATAGGCCACCTTATATGTCTGTACTTTGCTGTACTTATACAGGCAGATATAAATTAAAGAATAATATGTAATATGTCATGTTCTGACATGCTGCCTTGCTTTGACTGGGTTTTTTTTATGTGTTGGATGCTTGGAACTTGTTCAGCAACAAAAGAAATGTAGGGAGCTGCTGGGAGAAACATGATACGATCGATGAGTTAGTTATGTTGTACTTGCTCTTTTACCTTTCCTCTTTTTCTGTCTTATTCCCATCCCATTTCCCACCAGGCTCTGCAGTGGTTGTTTCTTTGGCTTGTTTCAGAAAGGATGAAGTTGAAGTAACAGGGCTTTTTCTTTCTTTCTTTTTTTTTTTTTTTTTGTTTTTTTCCACCCAACATTTCATTCGGCAAGTTGCTCCCTTCTTTTTGGTGGTGATTTGGGACTTCAGAGAATTGTCACCAGGGTGTGAACAACTGCAGAATTTAGACTTGGTCTCCTTCCCTTGAGTCTTGTAGATAAGTGTAGTCAGACACTGAATAAGTTTGATTCCTGTCATAGTCCTTTCTCCCAGTCTTTCCCAAAATAAACACTATTTTTTGCAAAACTCTACTTTGGCCTTTTGATCTACAGAATGTGCTTTTTCTTCCGCAGAACTGTTTTGTGTCAATAATGAAAAGCCTGCATTTCTATGCCAGGTGTGAGATAAAATAGCCAGACTCATGGCAAGAGAAAGAAAAGTTCTCTGTGTATCAAACATGGGTTGTCGAGGGGATCAGATGCCCGTGCTGGGTGTCCAGAGCGGGTTATTCGCCACTCCAGCGCTGGAGAAGGTCTGCTCTGCAGGTCTCAAGGTGAATGCTGCTTCCTTGGGGACAGCTGGCTCCGCTGTGCCTGAGGCTGTGGCGGGACTAGGGCAGGCAGGTGACTTGAAGGTGAGACCTGAAACCTGAAGACGGGTTGGGATGTGCAGAAAAGGTTTCCTGAAAAAAACCCACAAGGACTTTTCAGTATTCCTTGTAATTGCTGTGGCTGGTTGGGACTGTACTCGCGTAGCTATTCTGATTACTCTTACTGCGCCTGAACTAATTGTGTGGGATGAATTTTGGGCAAGTGACCTTCTCCCACCAAGCTGGGATTGGACTTGACTTTTACTTTTGTAGCAGCTAGAACAAGAAAACAGCTCTGGCACTTCACCTCCAGAATAGCTGAGCCAGGTAACTTGGATGTTAATGTACAGGGAGGTTTGGGTTTTGCTTTCCCTTGAAGAAGTAGTGTGAAAGTGCAAGAAAAGTGGGCAGGGATTATGAGACTTGAAGTTAATCTGAGATAGTTTGATTAAAGTTCCCCAGGCCCTCCAGGATTCCCCCCCCAAGGACATATATTCTTTCTATAAACATGCACTATACAACTAGAATATTCTGATCTAAACAAAGAAAAAAATTATGCAAGCCAAGCATGAACTTTGTGACAATTACAGCTGGAGGGCTGCAGAGAGTGCAGTTTCTGTTTGGGTTAAGGGGAGTAGGAGACAGACCCCAAAACATGGTTTGTCTGTATTTTTACAAAGTCTTATATAAAGTAGAAATTGGAAGGTTTTGGAGACAAGAGTGTTTTGTAGAATATCACACTGGAGATACTGATATGAAATCCTTTTGGTAGGCTGGCTGGCGGCCCAGCGTGGTGGGGAGCCTGGGATCTGGACAGGCAGTTTCCTGGTCATTTGGGGACCAGGGGTTCCTCCAGACAACATGGTCTGCTGGGCAAGGAGCTAGTGGCTCTGCTTGACCGGTCAGCTGCTGTGCATGATCTTGTTCATGTCTGATGATAACACATGCATATTTCACACCTCTCTTCATCCTTTACCTCACAGAGATTAATTCTGAGAAGGACTGGAGGAACCACATGCTTTGCAATTTTGGAGTTGGTCATTTTTCTTGATTAAACTTCTAGTGATGTTCCTTTCTCCTTGTGTCACATCTGGCAAAGCTTTCTCTCACTTATTTCATTGTGCATGCTCTTAAGTATAGGATTGTTTAGTGTAACCCTCTCCACGCTTTCAGCAGCAGAAACACTGGTGGGAATTAGACCTTTATAACTGGAAGCAACTTTCTGGTTCCTCAAATTCTGTGGTCCCAGTAGTACATGTCAGATTTGCAGCTAGTTGTTCCCAGGAAAACCCTAATATACAAGGAGAAAAATTCAAATCCTGCTCAATAACTTTGGAGCATTGTTTACTAGTATATCTGGGAGGAAAAGAAGCTATCTATGATTACGTGTAACCTAAGTCATTGTTTTCAACGCTTTACTGGGAATGATTATAATTGCATTTTACACCTGAATAACCGTTTGTCAGCCTTTACTAGAAATTCTTGTTTTTGTAATGCGAGAATGAGAAGATAAATCTGATATGTCTGTCATACCAGGAAGGGCATGTGAAATGCATAATACTAAATAAATAAGTCATGACAAACTTCTATGAAAGTAATTTGCAGTTATGCTTCTTCCTTCTAATGTGAATGTCAGTTTAACAAAGGTGTACGTTTTGTGGGAAGAGTGGTCTCTAGAACAAGTATAAAGCTCAAGTATGGTTCCTATTCTTAATTTTTCATCTTTTCTTCTGTTGTTCTTTTGGTACCATGACTTCCAGTCTTCATTATTAGTTACTAAATGAGAAAAAAACTCCACCTTTTCAGTGTAAGTGAATAGTATACGAAAAACACTTTTGCTAAAACTGCTGGCACAGCTCTTGGGAGGAGGATATTGAAATGTGTCATCTTCCACCTACAGTCAGCACCATCCAGGCTTTGAAGCTTTGGGGAGGATGAGGGGAGACCAATGACTTTTTGCTCATCAGCCAGTTGACTGGGCTGTACTGGAAGAAGAATTGAAAGGCATGTGGAGAGTACTGAGCTGTGGCAGCACTGAGCTTTTAAAAATTGTCCTGAGCTTGTCTTTAGGGTATTTTGTGTACATACGCAACTATTACTCTTTAATCATCCGTGATTTGATTAGGAATACTTGGGAAAGGAACTGTGGTTCCAGGTAAGTCGTATGGCACCAAACCCAAAGGAAACCTTTGGATTCATGGCACTGTGAATCATCAAGAAGCTGACCAGCACTTAGAAATATATGCATTACATATTAAAACCGAAGAATTTGAAAGAGATTTTTTTAAAAAAATAATTATTTAAAATAAAGTATTTCAAACAATTTTTTAAGTATGAAATTTTTTTTAAAGGATGATTTGCATGTGTATTTGTTCTTGGACTTAGTTAAGTTTACGTTGTATATACAGTCCTGTCTTGCGTGATAAAGCAGTTTCTATGAATTGTAACTGGCACTTAGAAAGCTGTGGCTGATAATGTCTTATGCATTCTTCATTGGCAGGTTCCAGTTGCACACTGTTTTGGGCCTCCAGGACATTACAAAAGAAAGTTTTGCACTGTGTGCAGAAAGTCACTAGAGTCACCTGCCTTTCGATGTGAAGGTAACCTAAACTCTTCTTGTATAGCCATCTGTGTGTTACCCAGTAATGTACGCTTGCATACCTTGAGGGTGTGCATGTGTACACACACACGTGCACGCTTACTGTGTTTGAGAGATTTTGGGGTTGTTTATTATCCACTGGATCATGGAAATGTGTACTTCAACTTACGGAATAATAAATCAATAACCTTCAGTAAGACCCGCCTAGACAAGGTCCTGTGCAGCCTGCTGTAGGCGACCCTGCTTCAGCTGGGGGATTGGACTAGATGACCCACAGAGGTCCCTTCCAAACCCTAACATTCTGTGATTCTGTGATGTATGCTTTTTCATCTTTCCTCCATTTTACTTTGAACAAGTGTGTGGTGTTGACGGTGTGCAATGAATCCATGCCCAAGATGCTCAAATAATTAGAAGCTCTTACAGCAAAAGGAAGACTTCTCCTGTTAAAGTAATTTATTTCTGTTTCCAGTGGAAGCTTTTGACACATGGAATCATCAGGTATTTGTGTTTCTAAAACCTCGTCCTTTCTACAAAAGAATATAATACAACTTTTCTATGTTACTGGTCTCAGAAATCAGATATCTTGTAATGATGATGAGGTGCCTGCAATGGAAAGATATTTCAAAATATTATTTGTCAAAATAGTACTGCTCTGAGTGTTCTGACATGGATTCTCTGAAAAAACAGTAATTAAAGAAATCACCCAAACATCAGAAATTTTATTTGAAATACATGTTGGCATGAGTTCTTGACTGATGTTGATATGGGGCAACTCCTTAATTCTCCCTTGTCTCCTCTGTCTTAAGTGTCTAGTAGTTGTTGTTCATTTGACGTTGTGAGGTTGAATAGAGTTTAGTATTTAAAGGGCTGTTACCTGTGAAGTGTCAAAAAAACCCCAAAAATGTTTACAGAGAAGAACCATTCTGTAGGGTTTTGAGATGCTTTCAAAATTACTGTTATGCTGAAGATAATGTCTTATTTAATATGGTTGCCTAAGTGTATGTGTAGGGGAAACATTTCACTTTGATCAGGGCATTTAGACTTGCAATGATGCAGTGTTTTTGTTTCCACTTTTGTCTGGTGAGTTGCATAATGAAACTAAGCTATGTTCTTCTGACTAGTGGGAATCTGTCACTTAGTAGAGCTGCCATCTGAGTTGAGTGATTTGGTGAGATGGTGAAAGAGCTACAGATACCACAGAGTCTTTTCTGACGATCTGTCTTTATAAGCCTCAGAAGTTGCGTCGCATGAGATAAACATAGAGAATCTGAAAAGAAACTTTTCGCTAGCTATGTCGTCTTAACTCTTGAAAATAGCTTTAGTTTAGTGATCTATTTTAGTTAAATCTTTCTAAATTTTGCGTTTGTATTCTTACTCTTGTAATTCTACTGTATTAGCATTGTACCTGTTGCGAGGGAATGTTTGTTTTTTCAGACACTTCCATTGAAGTGTTCTTAAACAAGAAACACATGAAATTGCGTGTTATGTTTAGGTATTACAAATGCCTGGACATTTTTTTTTCCAGTTCAGTGAAGGCTGTGAATTGTGTTCCTCACATGGATTAAACAGGGTTTTTTTGTTTTGTGTGGTGTGACTTGTTTGCTGTCCCATTTCCTGAACACCAGTAAGTCTACAGGTTGTTTCTCTGATACTTTTCCAAAATGTAGCTTAACAGGGGCAGTTGAGGTTCATAAAATGCTCAAGCTTCTTCCTTTCATCTCTGAAAATCCTTTCAGGATTTGTTTTAGAAGTCAGCTGTTTTAAGCTATAGAGCTTTTAAATCGAGATGGAGACACTGAACTTTCTTCCTTTTTTAGCTTACTTCTGATGACTTAGCTTCATAGTACAAGTCTACTGTTGGTTACAATGTTCTCTTTTGATGTTGAAATTTAAAGAACTTTTCCTGGAATCTTTGTCATAATTAAGATAGAAAAGAGGGTTAAGATTAAGTTACCTTTTCAAGCAAATGATTGACATCATTAGATGTACTTGTGGAAGAAATTAAATAACTTGTTTTGGACTCTTCATATCTTATGACAAAATAAATTTTCTTGAAAAGAAATTGAAGATTTTCAGACAAGTACTACACACTGTAGGTGTGTGGTGGGGCTGCTGTTCTCAGAAATGAGCATGCATGTACCTTAACCACTGGTGAGATAAGTACATGCACTTTGTTGGCAAAAATTACAATATTTGGACTCCAAATTCTGTTGACAGTTACTCATTGCTTTGGATAGCTATTTTTGCTGTAGAATTTGCGGGTAACAGTTGAACCTGGACTCATGATGGTGAGAGTTGCTCTCCCTTTTCTTTACAAGGGAGGAAGGACTGGAAATTAAAAAAGAGGAAAGGGAGTAACGCAAATATTTTTTTAGTTTTGGATCCATTACAAAAGTTTCTTATTAAGCATCAACCAGGAGCAGCAAATTTACTGGGCAGGGAGGCAGTTAACATTTTAAAGGATATTCTGCAAGTTTATGTATCTGAAATTAACAAACTTGGGTTTTTGGCAGTTATAAAGGAATTCACAGCACTTTCATGACTAGTTGGAACAGAAAATTGTCGTGCTGTTACGAGTTAAAGAATTGTGTAGATTATGGAAGGGCTGCTGAGTTTCAGCATCCATGCAGGGACAGGAATGACTCTCACACATTGATGCAATGCACAGTCGATTCGATTTATTGCTCCGCTTGTGTGGTTATATACATTTTTCATATCTGCACACACAATCACGCTTATTCGGATAGGCTACAGACATAAATCACGCACTGTTCATACGCCACACATTCCCTTATGATTGGTAACTATGCACTAAAGCCAATAGCAACAGGCCGCCTCCATGTCCTTGAACACATCTTGTTTTTGCTAAGCCACATCATGTGCACTATCAGAACTTTCTCAATTGTTATTCTTAGCTGTCCTTTCCAGCGGCCTGTCCAGTTATGCTAACTGTTTTGCTTAAGCGGCCTAGTCGTGCTAACTCTCAAGCTACATCAACCCCAACAAAGGGCTGATAAAGATAGAACTTCTTTTTGTAGGCCCTCTGATTTTGACTTGATCTTTACATACTAAAAACTTGTCCTTCCTATCAGCAGGATAGCTATCTTGAGAGTTTAACTCCTGTGACACTCCCACCCTTCATATGCACACATTTTCTTACTAATTCTGAGTTCTGGTTGGTTTTAGAAGCAGTAGATGTGAATTAAACCAAGGGAAAAAACCCTCTGTGTTCTTACAAAGTATAGCAAAGGGCAATGTGTGCCTGTGTTAGCAGAACTGACAGTAAAGAACCCAAAGCTTTTGTTAGTTCCTTGAAGCCATAATTTGGTCTGCAGAAACTTTTTACCATTAGTGAGTTTGTGACTCAAGGCATCTAGCTTGCCTGGTAGCTGAATTGGCAAAACTGGAGGGGCCATGTCACAACTTACGCAGAAGTTCTTGACCTGAGTGAAGACATGGAGAACTGGGGGGGCTGTACATGAAAGCTTGTGGTTGGCTTAGTAAGCCCTGTTAAAAGAGGCTTTGCTTTGGTGTGGTGGTAGATCATGATCTTCTGTGGGGTTAGAATAAGACAATGTTAGTGCTGATTGCCTTTTGTAGAGTCCAGAGAGTGATTTCATAATAAGGTATTAGTCTTTATGTAATTTAATACTGTTTTCAAAACACTTTCAGAAAAGGTGGTTAACGTGCAGTTGCCACCTTCCAATCTTCAGGTTACAGTTTTCAGATTTTTATAATGTGCTAGGAGCAATAACCTGTTTGAGCAGAGCAGAAAGTAATATTTGAAGAATTTTGACACTTACCTCTTACTTCCATTTACTCGACAAAAAATTGGATGCCTTCCCGGAGCACTTGTATATACAAGTCTTTAAAAAGCAGCAAGAGGAGGATCTTTTTCATACATCTGTCTCTGAGGTCAGCAGAGAACTTTCTTAACTCTTGCAGTAATTAAGCTAGGTGTTGAGATACCTATGTTGTATTTTTTTTGTTGACTGATCCTTTGCAGCATAGCATTTTAGCTGGGGGGGGGGTTTGTAGCTTCTCTTTTCTTCATATCAGATACATCAAGTCAGCTTTTAAATAATGAAGGTACTTCATCCAAAACCAAACTTGCCTAAAACTTTATAGGATTCTTCTTCCAGCTACAGTATCTAACAGGTATTTTGGAAGACAGTGTTAAGCTTACATACGAGAATGCGCTGAAAAAACTATTATTTTCCTGACAATGAAATGGTGAATTACCGTATGCAGACATATCTTCAACAAATCTTCTCTGAGATGAACATACCAGTTTAATCTGGTCAGGTTTAAAACTAAATCCATTGAGTGTCATCTGGTGACAAAAAGGATTTATTTCCTGAGTAATACACACTTTCTGGCTGTTGCAGTCTTCCTGAGAATGATGTCCCCCAGTCACATTGCGTGTTCCCACCTCAGCATCTCGTGTCACTGCAGGCATGTGCAAGTCCGTGTCGGTGCCGATGTGCTACGTGGGTCAGTGGTGGGTCCGACCCCTGCCACGAGTCCCATGGGACATGAGTGCGACGGGCTGGTGGCTGTGCCAGAGGGTGCCCCCCAGCCCTGCGGCTCTTTGGGCGGGAGTGCCCCCTGCTCTGCACTCCTCGTGTCTTATTTCCTTGCGCTTCTGAAAGCTACTGGGATGGAGAGAGGGGCTGTCTGGAAGAAGAGCATCTGCTGTTTTGAGCACACTTGTGAAGTGCCAGCTTGCTCTACACTGGGGTTTGGAAGAGGTTGTGTAGAGGGAATGCAGTATTGCTTCAGGAAGGCCATTACTTTACACTCAAGACTTGGTGGTATTTGGATGCAGGAGGAGAACTTTCTCTCTTTGTGTTACTTATTCTAATGTTCAGCTTTTTTTGGATTTGATTAAATTAAAGCAGGCTTCAGGCACTATTAAACTGTGAGACAAAGTTGTAATAAGCCAAGCAGTTGTTACAAATTTAGCTTACTGTATTGGTGGAAGCATGGCAAGTGCTTATGAGCAAAATTAGGTTAGCCTTTCCTCATACTTGCTGCATTGGTTTAACACAAAGGAAATGGAGCAACACATAGGACAATGCTGGTAAGCTTCTTGTATTGCCTATCTTTGCTGAACAGAAAAGAGCGTGAAGGAAGGAAAGTGTGGTGCGAAAAGTTAGCGCAGTAGTATTGGAGGGGTGGAGGGAGAGAGGGAGGGAGGCAGGGGCTGCGAACACCCGGGGGTTTCCAGCTTAAAGACATTTTCTTGTTTTTATGCTTTTAGTTTGTGAGCTGCATGTGCACACAGACTGTATCCTGTTTGCTTGCAGTGACTGCCGGCAGTGTCACCAGGATGGGCACCAGGACCACGTAAGTGCAAGTGCCTCTGCAGCAGAAAGTGGTCATGCTTTTTTCATGTGAGAATGTAGGCTGGGGTGGGGTGGGGAGTTTTGGCCTTTTCTTTTGCATGCTGCTAATTATCAAAGCACTTTTCTGACTGTCAGGCAAAGGAAACTTGTGGCTTCAGCATGTATCGCAGAGAACAAGATGGACTTAAATTTTGACATATTCATGATTCTTGTTGAAGCCATGCTGAAAAGTCTGTGTAATGTATACAACATACTAATTGAAAATAAATAAAATCAAGCATCTTATCTAAAAATTTGCATTGCAGAAGCTGGCATGGAACTCTTTTTTTCTAATATGTTGAGCTGTTGGCTGCATTGCGTCCCTGGCAAACATTGTTATGTTCCTCAGGCTTCCCACGGTCTGTCTGAGGCAAGAGTGGCCAGCTTCTCACTGTAAAATACATACATAATACTGACCTTTCAGGATTTTTTTTTTTTAAAGAATATTAGTTTTGGTGGACTGTGAAGACAAAGTACTACGTCATATGTTTTTTGTTATTTTGGTAAACTTTCGGTGAAATGTAAGATTTTTCAGGTTTGTATTTATAATGAGAAAACACTTAATGTCCTGTTCTGTGTTGCTGTTTCCTCTGAGCTGATTGAATTACTGATTTTAAAGTTAGGTGGAAGATGCTTCTGTATCTGTTTGATGTAATGCTAAGTCGTGATGTGTTCCCCCAGGATACTTATCACCACCACTGGAGGGAGGGAAACCTTTCTTCAAGTGCTCGTTGCGAAGTTTGCAAAAAAACCTGTGGCTCTTCGGAGGTGCTTTCTGGCATGAGATGTGAATGGTGTGGCATCCTGGTAGGTTGTGCTGTTGCCTATATTTGTGGGAACCATGTATATATACATATATATGCAATGCTTATTATATAAACATGTTTTATTTGTACACTTTATAAATATACTTTATATACACTTTATAAATTCACTTCATTTATGCACTTATTTATATAAAAACATGTATGTTTTTGAGTTAGATGGAAAATCTGGGTTTTTTTAAATCTCCGCCCATGAGAAATCCTCAAAATCACAGTTAAACTTTATGTAAACCCAATGGAATTAACATTTAACAGGGACTAAGCGTCATAGATGTCTGCTTAGAAGCCTGCAGTACTTTTACTGTGTGAAATCAGAATTTCTTTCAACTCACGTGAGTTCTGCAAAGTCAAAGACTTAACTATTCTAATATGCTTATTCCTTTTCCAGTGTAGAATAGTAGAATAGGATGTTTTTTAAGCTGTCAGTATTGGTTTCTGATTTTTTGCTGTTCACATGATGCATGTTTAACTCCCGTGCAACATCATGGTATCCTTTAATAATCATCATGAAAGCCACAACTTTTCACATACAGATACACAGTCCGCTGTGTACATAACAACTGGTCTACCCACTGAATGCTACCTCTTATTGAAATATGATGAAAGTGCAAAGTAGCACCAGATGGAGTGGGAATTGAAGAGTATATGTAATACATCATTAATTTGCCACTTAATGAAGATGAGGTGCTCTATGTAATAATAATTTAAAATGAAACTGAGGTCATTCAGGTATGATTTGAATAATTTAAAATTTTTTTTAAATATTGTGGGCTTTGTATTTTTAATCTGATTTGTAATTTCTGAGGTGGGAGGATCTGTCTTTGAGAACAGGCTGACAAATATAACATGCTATATGGCTGCACATACAAAGTTATGCATTTTCAGTAATGGCAGATCTCACACAAGTATAGAGACAGAAAATAGCCAGTCATGTTTTGGAATAAAACTCGAAACAGTGTTATCTCTGAATCTGCAAGTGGGTACAGCTGTGTAAGAGGAAATTGCTATTTTCAAACTATTCAGTATAACCCACCTACCTTTCCCACCTCCTCCAGTAAATATCTCTATAGAATGGAAGATACGGGGTTTGAGACCAAAACTTTAAACTTCACCACATAGCTGTAGAGAAACTTTCCATTTTTAATAGAGCAGGTTTGTAGAATTTGGAGTTTCTTCACATGTTAAGAATTTTCATTATTGTTACATAAAAACTGAACGAAACAAATGAAAATCTAGGGTGAAAGATGGGTTGCTCAGGTCATGAAAGTGATTTACAAAAGGTCTGTGTGTCTCCTAGCCGGAGTTATTCAGTTCCAGTGCATATTTTGTTGTAAACAAATTTACTTCCTTTGTGTCTCACAAAGTTCTTAATTGATGCTTCTATTTATAGGCTCATGCTGCTTGCTACGTAATTGTCACACCAGAATGTACTTTTGGAAGATTAAGGAATATGATTCTTCCTCCAAGCTGTGTGCAGTTATTTTCTCGCAACTTCAGCAAACTACATTGTTTTCGAATATCAGAAAATTTGCAAACAGAATCAGGTAAAAACTTTCAAAGTTGAATGCAACTGAGCATATGCTTTTTAAATTTCACTGGCTTTGGCAATACTGTAACTTCTTGCTATTTCTGGTACAGGATAGATATTTTTAAATGCAGACTGTATGCAAAACGCTGAAACCTCTGTTTGCTGGTGCAGGGCAATATGATAACTCTTTAAATTGCAAGCATGCAGAAAGCGAAAGCCTAAAATTCAAAAATTTGCTTAGTGGATTAGTGTTATCATTGCTACTAACACTTGCTAATATATGTGTTGTATTTTACTTGGCATAACATTTATACGGATATTTTCATTTGCCTCTTTGATTAAGCATTTGCCCTCTTAAGACTTCTGTGCTGAAAGGAAGTCCTGGTTTTAGCATGGTAAGGTTCTGCTGCCATCTAGGGTGTGAGTGTGTTTAACAGCTCTTCAGGGATGAGATTTTTTTTTAAGCCGCTGAAGTATTTTCTAACTTGTGTTTTGATTTTTGTGTTCATGTAAAGCCTTTCTTTCAGCGCTTGAATACAATAGGAAAGGAAATAAAAGGTAGGCAGTGTGTAGCTGGTGAAAGTTAAGTATTTGCAGCTACACTTTTCTCAACGTGGCAGGTTGTATTTGAACTTCCTGCTTTGAATGTGTAGGTTTGGTTTTGGTGAAGGCAACTGGTCGCTAGCAGGAGCTATGTGTTCTCATGTGCAGAAGCAGCAGCAGAAGTCCTGCTGCTGCATCAACTGCATGACCCTATGTCTACATAGCCTAGGTATGCTGAAGTGAATGAGAAGAGTGTGAAGGGGGAGGGGAGGCATCATGTTGCTCTTCTTGGCTGGCATGTTTTTTTCAGTGAGTTATTTTTCCTTTTAATGAATTTGCTTGTTGGTGGGAGAAAGTGAAGTACAGCACTCATGTCTTGGAGTTTTTAGTGCTTCCAACGTAAGAAATACCGGAAATAAAAAATCTGGATGAGCTTGGTTTTGCTGGAAGACTCATTGTGAACCTAGATTCAGGTCTATTGTTAGATGTTCTGCAAGTGTCCAAAAGGCTTAAGTGAAGATACGGTTGTAATATTACTAACAGAAGTTAATCACAAACCTTTTAAATAGCCTCTTTGGCTATGACTTTTCTGATGTTAACTAAGTTTGTCTTTCAAACAGTGATGAGTTCTTTTAATATGTCAAACTTTTTCCTTTTTAAATTTTTACATCACCTTTAAGTAAAAATTGAACATGGAGCACCTTGAGTGAAAGAATCCAAGGTTATAGCTGCACCTGCTAGTCTTTTTCTTCGTTATTTTACGTGATGGATGAGAAGGTTTTCAGTTTCAGGCCTTAGGCTACATGCTAAGTGTATGAGTGCGTGTTACTCATATTCAAGATTTTTTGAAGTAATAATGTTTTTTTGCATTCCTTTAGTTAAAATGTATGTCCTGTAGTTTGAATTGAGAGAATGTAGTGCAGATCAGTCATTAGCTGGTGGTCAGAAAAAGATGCATGGGGAAGGGGAAATACTCAGTAATTTAGTTTGTACTATTTCTAGCACTTTAATGTGATACAAAAGAACCCAAAGAAACCCCACCGGATTTGGAAAGCCAGAATGCATTTTTGTAGTCCTCAGCCTGAATATAACCAGATAAAATATATCAACACCCTGAAAAATCTTGTTTCTAACACCAGATCTGTTTTTTGCCAGCTGCTGACACCCAGGGGAGCAGGGGCCGAGCCATGGGGACGCTCCCGTTTCCTCCTGCTGCTCATCCCAGGTGTACCTGTGAACTTGATGGCTGGCCCCAGTATTTGATGCTTTCCTTTTTTCGTGGTCGGTGCGTCATGGTTGTAGCTCAGCACAAGGCATGGAGAATAATATTTCTGGTGCAGTACTTGCCTTACAGTCTGCTGTGCATAAGGCATTTTGTTCTGGTTTTCCTTAGCTGATGATGGTATGTGATGCTTGTTTTAGTACCTAGGTCACTGATGTTCAGATACACGTCTGGTGCCTCCACGTGTGTCTGCTTGTTACACCGTTCACATCCTACTGAGGCTTGCTTTAAGACCTGTTACTGGGGTTCTGCTGCTCTCAGGTGTCTGCAGGTGCCTGCCAGAGGCAGCAGACACTGTTGCTACACAGGTCTTTCCCTCTGCCCAGATTCTTCCTTAAAGGCACAGCTGGAAATTACCTGAATTCTCACATCATCGTGCGTCGAGGGAGCTCAGTGCTCTGGCCTGGTAGTCCTTTTTGTTACCCATGTTTGCAGAACAGACCTACATTTTCTTTCAAAAACCCACTAGCTCCTGGCATGTGCCGAAAGTTACCAAGACACGTGGTGAGTCCAGCAGCTCCCTGACACTCTTCAGGATGTGTTTGAAGCTCCTCTGGCCTCGGAGCAGCTCAGGACACCTGCCCTGCAAGTTGCTGCCACTCTTAGAGGGGGAGGCGTAGGCTCTGAGTGGCGGATCTGGTTAAAGATTGCATGCATGTTAGGGATGTTTTTGGGGAGCAAGGAGCATTTTGGCTTTGTTGGAAGGTAATTAGCACTTCTGTCCTGACTTCTGTGGGACGTGTCATGCAGACACGCTTGTTCAGAAGTCCTCACACCATGACATGCACAGAGGATGCTCTTCTGTTGCCACAGCTGATGAAGGGCATCACTTAGAAGACTGAAAAGACCGGTCTGTGGTACCAAAGAAGTGTTGGCCTGGATGAGTTAACTGCCACAGGCACAGCTCTTCCCAAGCTCATGGCTGTGAAGTGCCAGGTGACTTGTCCTGGGCAGAGAATGAGCACATCATCGTTGACCTACTCGGGAGCATTTGTCCAGATTAGCTTTTGCCACTGAGTAAATGCTGACCTTCACGACCACCATTCAGTGAACATCTCTCTGTTGAAAGTGGCTTTCCAAAACTCCTGGGCTACCAGGGGAAGCAATGGTAGAGCAGTTATCTGCCCTTCCTCCAACTAATTCCTGTCTTAGCATATGTCAAAACAAGTCATTGAACTTCACTGGAACAGTTTCAAGATGCTGTTAAGTGCCAATTTCCCTGCTATCCAGACTGAGGGAGAAAGAGTAATAAAAGAAAGATGTCAGCTTCTTCCTATCTAAACTTAGAAAAAGGGGAGGGTTGGGACCAGTCAGCAATTCTTTTATTTCTTATTGTTGTGTTTACTTACTGTTTTTTTAATTTGCTTTTTGTCTGAACTGAAATTCGAGAAGGCATTCAACTTTCATTTATTTCAGGGTGTTTCAAGACCATATTGTCTAAATTTCTCTCCAATTTGAAATTAATCTGTTTGTCAACTATAACATGGGAATTATTTTGACTCTTCTTTTAGATTTTAAAAACCTCAACCCAGAAATGCTATTGTTGGTCTTTGTTGTAGTCAGTTGAGGCATTACCCAAATATTCAGTAAGTCACGTGGTCTCCAGTTTAGGACTCCTGCTAAGTACCCTCCCTGACATGCTGTAATTCTGCTTCTTGGAAAGTTTTCTCTCATTAGGATTCTGACTTTTCTAGTACCTCTTTTGCTCTGGAAATCTGTCTTTACTGATTTTATTTTATCTTTTCACTCTTGCTTTGTGCTTTGATTTCCTGCTCCCTCGATGACAAGGCATAGTTTTTGTAAAGGTGTTGCCTGGTTTGTATCTTCTGGGAGCTTTGTCTTCATCCCAGTCAGAACTGACTGGGAGTTCCAAAGGGTGGGAGTATGAGTACTGCTGTATGATCAGCACACTGGGTTTGCGTATGTTGCACACTACTGCTACCCTTAGAGACAAAAGATTTGTCACATTTGGATTTGCACCAGTCTTGCTATATGGACCTGAGAGTCAGGAATGAGAATGCAGTCAGGGTGTTATCTTCACAGAAGCAAATGTAAATGTTAGTAGCTGTTATTTTAATCTTTTCTAAGTATTTTATGTGTGATTTTTACAGGCTGTGTCATTATCTGACATGTTACCTCCTAGCTTTTCGTGAGAGCAAGGAGCTACTGTCAAAGTCCTCTTCTGGAGTGCAGTAATTTCTTTCTCTTTGAGTGTCAACAAGTCTGTTTTTCAGTTACGGCAATTATTTATGTAATACCCATACTTCTGACTGGAAAGCTGTCACTGGACTGATGTGGTGATCTAAAACTTAGTGGAAACTGTATATACTTTGGTCATAGGCAAACATCACAGCTTGAGAAGGGGGTGAAATGCAGTAGTTGCAATATTAAAGGTAAGAGTAGAAGGACTTCAGGTTTGCCTTCGCTGTAGTTACACAACAATGCAGGTGTGGGTTTTTTAATGCTGTTTTAATAGTATGGATTATTATAATAAAATAGGCAAAAGAAGAAACTGTGCTTGTCTGACTGAACTCTTTTGTGTTAGCTTCTTTGTTGGAAACCATCCTTAACCATCCTTAACTGACACTTTTTTTTTCCCCCTCATTGAAATTACAAAGAATTCTTTCTCAAAATGTTCCTGTTTTCACAGATGAAGATGATGATGTTGATGGGTCAACACAGGGATCAGCAAAAGATGTCCAAATTTCGACAGATTCAAGTAAGCAGAATTTTAGTAAAAGGTGAATAGTCACCCATTCCAGCCTTCATTCATATAATCTTAACTTGCTTTGCCTTATGAAAAAATATTAAATGGCTATTTTTCTAATGTCAGGTATCAGTTTGAGGTTCAGAGTTTTGATACTACAGATTTATCCAGGGTCTCACAAATCTCTCATCACTATTTTCCACTGGTAGATTGGCATAAGTGACAAGCTGTTCATTAGCTTGACAAATAGATCATTTCTCTCAACTTAGTAATCGAAGCAAGTAAGCATGGTGTTAACAATCCATGGATAAGCAACCAATTTAAAGGGCAGACAGCATGTCTTTTCAAAGCCTTTTTTTTTAAGATAGCTGGATCCAAATCTTGCTGAAGACAGCAGGTGACTTTTTTTTTTCTTGGGCATGTTGCAGTGAAAGTGTGTGTATTCCTGTGCATTAGAAATGAGCTGGGCTGATTGCTGCTTATGCAGTTAAATTCTGATGCACATGGAGTTTTCTGAGGTTGGTTAGCCAAATTCTTACTTTTCAGAAGATGAAGCCAATTGCAATTTAAGGACATCCTACCCCTCTGTATCCATACTAGTAACTAGAAAAATATGGTACTTGGTACCTAATGTAGCTGTAAAAACTAGAATTTCATATCAAGAAATATGATTTTTTGTTTTTCTTTGTTTTTAGCCTGAAGTTCTTAAAAAATTAATAGGATAATTGTCCAAATGCTGTTTGGATTCTTGAAAAATCCAGCTCGGTAAATAATGAACTTAGTTGTGGAAGTGATCTCAAGCATGCTTGTATTTCACTGCTTAAAATTTGAAGCTGGTGTCTCTTGATGACTATGATCATTAAGAGATCACTAGTGATCCACCACCATGCTCCCTTATTCTGGGACCAGGCTCTGCCTAGCTGCAGTTTATCTAAGAAACTTTCACTTTTTCCAGTGTTTTAAGTGGCATAAGTGGTTGAGTGTCAGGACTTCTATACTTTAACTGAGGCTATTTCCCTTACTCATGACGGTCAAAGACAGCAAATTACGCATCCAGATATTTCGTCTGGATTGATTGAAAGTACTAGTACAGGACAGTTCAGCTTTAGACAGTCTTCCAAAAAGAAGGAAAATAAGATATGAAAATTGGGGACAGGAAACGAACTTTAATCTGTCTTTTGTTCATATACATTGTCCATCTGTGGACTGGAGAAAGCAGCAGTAGATGGTACATTTTCAAGGTTCAAGTAAAGGATCATAAGTCGTGCTTTAAGTACAACAGTGACATTAAAGGAAGTTGCTTCGTTTTAATACACTTTCACAAAACAGAAGTCAGTGTAGAGCCCAGGAGCTTTGCTATGACATAGAAAGCTCAATAGGTAGGGAGTGATTCTGATGTCTCTTTGAAAACAAAGCATTCACACACACAAAAAAGATTAAATGTTTGAAGGCTTTAATGATGTTAGGGGTCTCTCAACCTGGTACCCCAGTAGAGGTGAAGCTGCTGCAACATCCTGTCCCCTGTGCGGCCAAGCGGGATGAAGGGTTGTAAGTGGGAATGTGTGTGTGTGTATACGTACACGTATTCTGGTACATACTTCTGTGTGTATATATAGCTGCTTATGTGGTTATATGCATGTATGTGTGCATCCATGCATGCACACATCCTCTCTCCCCGGCTAGGTCTCTTGGTGGACCCCCAACTCCCGTGGTCTCTCCAGCAGTCATCCTGGACCTCCCAGTCCTCTAGTAGTCATCTTGGCCTGGTGCCTCACTCACAGGGACACACGCACATGTGGCTTCCAGGCCACTGACCTCGTGTGCCATTGAGTCAAGCCTGAATTTTTTTGGTGCTCACACAACTACTGTCACTCTGGTTGCTGGCACCATGGACATGTGGGTCATGGTGACCTGCAGTCCTGCTCCAGTTGCTGCACTCAGGAACGCATATGCACACATGCATGCAGAAGAGTGGAAACCACACCCACAAAAAGAGTTAGAAATAGCATCTAATGAGAAGACAGGACAGACTGTGCTGATCAGGTGCAGGGCATGGCCAGGCAGGTGCACCAGCCAGCAACCTCTTCACCTGTGACCAGCTTCTTTTATCGCCTTCTCCTTATCTATTTTTCCATACTTGTTCCTCTCTAAACCACCTTGATTCCTCTCTTCCCCTGCCTTTGGTTCCTCCCCTAAACATCCCCTAACAACTCTTGTACAATCCCACAGTGCTCTTCCCATGCACCTCTTAGAACCCCACACCCTGAGTGACCTCCTCAGTTGGTGAGATGACCCACAGAGCTTCTCCTGCGGACTGACCTGGTGGGTGCCACCCACAGCCCATGGGACTGATGCCCTTGCGTGAAGACAGGGCGTGGCTTTCCTGATAACTTATATGACAAAGTTATTGGGGTTCACCTGCTTGTTGTTGTGCTTCTGTGCCTCTATGTGTGTGGGGAGTTGTAACCTATCAAATCAAACATGACAGAGGCATGGTTGTAGCATGCTGGATCTCTTCCACCAGTGTCTAGATAACATGATTTGTGTAATGTGGTTCAAGAGTGAGCTGCTCATTAGCTTCTGTGTGTTAACTCAGTACATCTGCCACATCTTTTAGGATGTTACCATGGTCTGCCTGTTGTGTCTGAACTGAATTATGTTCCAGAATATTGTAGCTTCTCATAATTCCAGTTCTCCATGTTTTACAGATGCATATTTTTAAAAACAGTGAAAATAAGTGAGAACAAATTGAATAATATCAACTTGTAAAGGTATGCTTTTCTGTAGGAAAGAAACCAATAGGAAAGGATGCAAAGTCTGTAGATGAATACTGGAAAAAAATTTGAATTAGTGGTCTGCATAGTGAAGTGTAAAGTTAGAAGTTTTAAATCCTGATTTTGGGAGCTTGAATATGTTAAGTCAGCCGTGAAACTTAGCCTACCAGGATACTGAAGCCAGAAGCATAAAATGACCATAAAAACAACCCTATGCTTTCTGAGATGATAGATTTAACAGACTTACAGGGAGGTTTGGAAAAGGACTATAAATCCTTGTGTCTGAGAACATGAGCCAGTTTCTAAGGACTTGCCTACACAGTGAACGATTAACTTGAAGAGAGATGAATGTTACAGGGATAGAAGGATAAACATGCGGATGCTCTTATTAGTGTAGTTAGTTGTATTTCGTGGGGAAAGACTTGAGCCCTAAAGTCCATTTTCTTACTGAAATAATTCTTGGTCATTCTAGGAATATACAACTGAAACTGCTCTGTATTGACAGACCTCAGATAGCTGGGGGTGGAGGTAAATGGGACTAAAAGTGCTCCTTAGGGGTGCATCTCCAGGGATGTGCGTTCTCTGTCCTTTCTGAGATGTGATGTTGATCTAGGTTTCAACCAGCACAGAATATTCTTATTTTCCCAGAGAAAGAATTCACTAAGATGCAAGCACGGATGTAATCTGTCAAGTTTGAGAAGTCAAAGGCAAACTGTTGAAAATCATTCCTATTGTTTCATGGTAATATGAAGACTTAGTGGAGGGGAAAAAAAATGTTGGTTTGTTGTATGTATACAGCAGATGGTTCCCAGAGGAGCCATCTCAGTAATTCCTGAAATAAAAAGTGAGTTATTGAGAGCTCTAACTTGTGTGTCAATCTGCAGGGATCTGGGAACATGAAAAGACATTAGGTGCTGCCCTAATTGTTTACTAGAATCAATAAAAGCCGAAGGTACTTGGCTACTGTAGGCCTAGGCAGCTTTTGTTTATTTCAAAGCTTATACATCATAGATGGTGGTTGAGGAATGTTGCTTCTTCATGTCACAGAATCACAGAATGGTAGGGGTTGGAAGGGACCTCTGTGGGTCATCTAGTCCAACCCCCCTGCCAAAGCAGGGTCACCTACAGCAGGCTGCAGAGGACCTTGTCCAGGCGGGTCCTGAATATCTCCAGAGAAGCAGACTCCACAACCTCTCTGGGCACCCTGTTCCAGGGCTCCATCACCCTCAGAGTGAAGAAGTTCTTAGCTTCTTTTCTCACAAAAGCTTCTGTTTGGTGGTACCTGAAGAGGTGCTAATTTACAAGTTGAATTGCAGTATCTGGTGTCATGCTGAAAACATTTTTTTCAAGACAGTTTGCTTCACCCGCATTTGAAGATATTTAGAAAAAGAGGATTATGCTCAACTATCTTGAATGAACTAGTGGCCTAAGTTCTGAAAGAGGTGGTATATTTGCTTTTCCTGTTTGAATTGCCTGGGAAGAGAAAAATGGGTGTTCTGAAAAATCACATGTTACTTTTCTTCTGCTTGACTTACCCCATTGTGCATATCTTCCTTTCCTCTCCTTCCCTCTGTCCCCTTCATCTGCGTTTCTGACACTTGATAGTGTCTACCATTGTTCTCATTTATCACCAAGTTGTGTTTTCTGGTCTTCCCCAACTTCTCTCTCCCAGTTCCCCTACTTCCCCCAGCAAAACATTTACTCCCCAGTGTTGCTGCCCCTTTGGCTTCGTTCCCTTTTAGTCTGCCTGTCCCTCTGTTGTTTCCTGAACCCCTTCCCCACACATCCTTGACATCTCACACCAGTTGGTAGTCAGAACGTTGGCTGCTGTAGGTGTCTGTTTCAGGGAAGGCAAGCACCTCTTCTTAACTACTTCCTGAAAATGTAAAGGGGTTTTATGGAAAATCTTTTCAAGAAGAATGGTTGGAAGAAATCTTCCTCTAGTTCTGTAGCATCATTGCCAGAAGGCTATGGGGAGATGTTCACAAATGTTGTTAGCTAGTGTAAATTTATTCCCTGCCTTAGGGGTCCTTACGACAAAGCTTATTGGTAGATATGTAAGAATGACGTAGACATCCATGCTTTTTGGGTTGTGTCTGTGATTACGCACTCCCTTTGCTTTAACATCCTGCCAGTCTTGATGCTTGGGTACAGTTTCTCTGTAGCAGCCCACTGGAAATGTGCACAGACACATTTCAGGAGGTGTACTGAGGGCTCAGCAGACTTTCTGGCCGTCTG